GTGGGGGGGTGGGGGCTGCATCAGAGCCCGTTCTTGCTTTCAGTCGACAGCAAACACTATGGAGTATGTCATCTCTTAACTCACCCTAGCTGAGCCATAACCGACTATAGTAAATCCTTACACAGTGTCATTTCTCATGCCATTTCTCTGATGGGGAGAGAAGCCTGAGGCACTTGCCAGTTTATAAAGCCCATCAGATCCAAAGTCAGACAGAGATGGGGGTCTCTCTCTCTAGCACATGTTCTTTGCTATTGCACCACAGAGCTTCTCAGATGGATTTAAAGGACATGAAAGGTTAAGAGGCTAAAGAAGATAACTCTTGTCACCCTGTAACTGCCTTGACTCCTGCGCTAATGGTCCGCATGGGTTATATAGGCAAGCAGGCAGTGATGCTTAACTCCAGAGCACCATCTCTTCATTTTAGGCATATCTCTCAAACACAACAATGGGACTAATCTAGGGCTTTTGCCTCTGGGATGCTGGTTTGCGTCTCATAAAATCACCGACCCCGCTGTGTCTCACCATTAGTCTCACTCCCACTGCCACGAAAGGCAAGATTAGAAGAGTGGTCTTCCCTCTGGCATTCTTGGTGACCCGGCATTTTTTTCTGAGTGACCAGGAGCTTTCTTCTGGATGGTCATCCTTCTGACTTGGCCTCGATCCAAAGTCCACAAGCCTGATGGAAAACTACTTTGTAAAATAAAAACCTGCGGAGGAAGAAGTGTAATCATGTTCTGTCTCTCTCACTAGGGTTTTAATTCTGGCAGGAAGAGGAAAGGTCAACATTTCTCGATCACAAGTTAATGCTGTCAACATTGTGTGGATTTATGAAAATTGGCTGAGGGAGTAGCTAGAAGGTGCCCAGTGTTCCAGCTGCTGTTGTGATAAATTGTGTAATAGGGCTTGGATTAAAAATAATACTCATTTAATTTGTTTAATGATACCAGCATGAAAAAGCCAGCACGCCTGTTCTGAAATCCAGCACACCGACGCCTCGGAGTGACATGCCCACACCGGGCACCAGTGCCACTCCAGGCCTCCGTTCCGGCCTCGGCAAGCCTCCAGCCATGGACCCCATCGTTAACCAGGCGGGTAGGGCATCGCCTCTTCTTGTGCTTTGTTTTGTTTGTCCTTCCCCAGCTTGATTTGTCATCTGTTCCTATTGTGATGCAGTTTCCCCAGGAACATAAAATGTAGTTACTGCCTGCCTCCCTCCTTCCTATCTTTGAAAAGCCCTGATAAGAAGCAGATGTTCATCCTTGGGTTTCAGCAGCTTCACCCTGTCCTATTTCTAGCTGTTCACATTTGACTTTTATTTCCAAATAATCCAAATCCCATGGACTTCAGTCAAGTTTCTGATAATTATTCCGATTGTAAGCTCCTTCCCAAACTATTACTGTGTGTCTTGAGTTCGCTAATATTGACCAAAATGGCCTGTCTGGCCGGCCCAAGTGTACTCCTTGCTTACTCCAATGGGCCGGTTTTCTGCGGGTCCATCAGGAATCCGGGATCTCTCTCTCAGTAGAAATCTGGAGAATTTCAATGAGACTCCAGCCTATGATTGAATAAACTCATAACCTTCAACTTGATCTTCCTCACTGGGAAAGGAAAAGAGTAACCTCCCAAGGCTCAAAGGAAAAGAGGCTCCAGAATATTTCTTCTAAATCCGTGCTTTGGTTTATGTAAATCCAGGACCAGGTTTTCATTTACCTCAGTTTGCCTTGTGTGAATTGGGTGCAGGGATGCTGCTAATTCCCCCTGGTTTCCCAGTGCTGCTCGGGAGGAAATGTGTGAGCAGTGCTTCCCCTGGGGTCTGTTCTTTCCAAATGAATTCAGCTTTGGGGAAGAAGGGATCCTGTGTACAAACTGGAGTTGATTCACCATCCCACAGTCCTCCTTCTTTTCCTTCCCCCTAATGAATAACATGAAAAACTCTCCCTGAGCCGCCAGTTGAGTCACGTGTGCCTTGTGCTTCCTTGCAGCGGCTGGCCTGAGGACGCCCTTGGCAGTGCCCGGCCCATACCCCGCCCCATTTGGAATGGTGCCCCACGCGGGCATGAACGGCGAGCTGACCAGCCCCGGTGCCGCCTACGCCAGCCTCCACAACATGTCCCCGCAGATGAGCGCAGCGGCTGCTGCTGCCGCTGTGGTGGCCTACGGGCGCTCCCCCATGGTAAGTGACCTTGGGAGCATGGCGGGCCCAGGTGGCAGCTCTCACAAAGCAGAAACAAAGACCCAGTGTCCTCGCCGTGCCTGCCTTCGCCTTGTTCGCCTTCATCCACATGCCGCTCCATTCAGTGACGGCCAGACGTTTTTTGCTTTACTCTCTTTGTGGATGAAAAAGGCAGTGTTTAGGAGCTCCTTTAGCGGTTCAGGGGACATCTGGTTTTCTCCCACCAAAGTAGATTTTTTTTTTTTTGGAAGGCGATGAAATAACTCAAGTAGTTCACAGAAGCCTTTTCATTCGTTTTCTTGAGTATTTTTCTTCCCTCTTTAATTCTTAGGAAAAAATATTTGAGAAGCTGTAACTTTCTCTTTCCATGCCTATATTATTCTTTAAACCCAATAGAATGGCTTTGGTGTAAAGAGTGACCTCAGTGCAACAGGCATAAACACAAACAGGGACGGAAACCATGGGGCGCTGTCCCTCTGGCCTTATTTTTGACCAGGGAGATACAAAACTGCAGAAAGGAAAAATTGAATGGGAGCCCTTGACTGCATCAGGACAAGGGGAAAGTTTATAACCCATAGCAAATAGAAGTCTGAAAATATTTCCTCTTGGTTGTTTGCAGTATGTCATGTGCATTTCTCATTTGTTGGTTCTTCCCTTATGTTTCACTTGCAGGAAGGGCAGTGCAGTGGAGGACAGGATAGTTTAAAGCCAAGTGGGCAGCTGAGGGACTAAGTACTGCGATTAAGGTGCTCAAAATCATGTATGAATCCTTAAGGATTAACTTAGACCAGTGGTATGAAACGGGGGGCGATTTTGCCTCCCAGGGACATTCAGTAATGTCTGGAGATACTCTGATTATCACAACTGAGGATAGAGTCCAGTGATGCTGCTAAATACCCTGCCTTCTCCTGGACAGCCCCAAACAAAGAACTGGCCCGAAACGTCCATAGTGTCAAGGTTGAGAAATGCTGACTGAGACAACATGCTGCGCTGTGTACCTGCCAGGACCAGGCAGACCCGTATTGGCCATGGGAGGCTGGCTCAGTGCACAAGAGATCCCTCTCCATTCTCCCTCCCCAGAAGGAAGTGTGTCTTGTAGTATTTAGAGTTGGTTGTATTGCTTCTCTTACGATGTATTTCCTCTGGGAATTGCTAACCTGTGCCACTGTTCCTGTTTAAGCTGCTTTGGGGACCTGAGTTTCCTGTGAGACATCTGTAGAGATGCTCACCAATGCCTGCCCTGTAGAAACTGAGTCTGCGATGCCTTCTTTTGTTTCCAGGTTGGGTTTGATCCCCCCCCTCACATGAGAGTACCTACGATCCCTCCCAACCTGGCAGGAATCCCTGGGGGGAAACCGTAAGTACCTCCAACTTCTCAGTTTTATTTTCAAGGCGGTTACTTAGTCATGGGTATTATCAGATCAGAATTCCAAAGGGAGCACAGGCCTGGGTGTTTCCAAGGAGATTTCTAGTGTCTTTTCCTGAGGAGTGTTAACACTTCCTATAAATAGGCACCCTGTAGGTGTCATGCCCCTGTCTTCTCCCGGTGGGTGAGCTCATGCATTCCGTTATTTCTGGAGAGAACTGTTGGAGACAGGGTGAGGAGCGCTGCAAGGACCAGGGGTGGGTGGCCCTCCTCCCTTGACCTTTTGGCAGAAAGCTGCTCTGCTTTGCCATGTGGTTAGAGGGTAGCTGCGGGGGACTTCCAACAGGACTGTGTGGTGGGCAGTAACCTGTCATGAACTCTTGAAATCTCTGAAATTTGAAACATGTTGTCTCTTTACCCAGCTCAGTGCTACCTGCTCCCTATTTTGGTAGAAACAAGAGTTTGAAAAGGGTATGTTCTGTCGGATGCCAACATCCGAGGTTGACCCCCAAGTAAAGTTTTGCTAAGTGCCATACTCTGAGAGGTTCAGAATTATAAGAGCAGAGTGCCTGTGTGGGGAAGCAAGACAGGTTAAAGGGCAGAAAAGCATTCAGAATTTGAAAAACCCTGGTGGTTATTCCTCCAGCGTCACATGAAATCACTTGCTTTCCATAGTTAGTAATTAGAAATGTGATTTCCAAGAATTCCTAAAGTTCTCAATTTTTTTTTAAAAGCAAAATTGAAATATGTCTTACTTCCTAGCAAGTACTCTGCCTTTCTCTGGGATAGAAGATGGCAGAAAAGCCTGTTCCAGTTTTGTTGATTTTTCTAAATAGAGGTACATGTGATAGGCCTTCAGTTTATTTTTGTTACATTCTACTTTTGTGTGTTTGCAAGGGACACATAAAGTGGAAAGCAAACATTATTATTGCATTATTTTGAGTGGCCCATTCAACAACTTGGTCATCCTTGTGTGATTTTGATTGGAGCCTTGTTTCACCTAAACCAGGAGCATGAGAGAAAATGGAATTCTTTATTCCCATCACCTGCTTTTAGGAAAGCAGATTCCTGTTGTTCACTTTTCATGCATTATAACATCTGTTTCATAGTTATTTGATTAATGATGAGATTAGGCTTTCTCTACACTAGGAACTAGTAGAGGTGCTAAGAATTTAAGGTGGCATCTTAGGCCCAGGGAAGAGTGGGCTTGGGGAGTGGAACAGTGTTGCAGATGCTTCCTTAGCTGGTAGATCCTTCCGATTACATACCCATCAGCTACTATGTGGTGTGTTTTCTTGGGTGTGTGGCCCTGCGTCCAGGATGGGCTTTTCTTATACATGCTTTGCTGGCCGGGTAGCTGTTGGGTGTCCTATTGTCTGGTGAGTAGATAAAGGGAAAACAAGTAATGTTGTGATAAAAGGCAGTAATTCATAGTCATTGGTGGATCTTTGGGAAAATAATGGGCACATAAAGCTAAGTTCAACCAACCATTAAGGAAAGCCAGTTTCAAGAGTTATTGGTAGGAGATGTGCCCCGCTGCCAAGACCCCACCTTGAATGCGATATGTGAGGAAGTTGAGGGGAAGGTGGGCAGAGGTATGAACTACAGTGCTGGTCTCCAAGGCTGGTGTGCAGGGGATGGTTAACGGACACCTAGTTCCCAGTATTTGTGCATGTGTGTTTGTATACAGTGTTGTGTGTGTTTGTATACAGTGTTGTGTGTGTTTGTATACAGTATTGTGTATGTCAATAACTTGATTAGACACAAAGATTAAACCTTCAGTGAACAACAATACTGGTGTCATGCTTATTAGAGCCAAAATATTCCTGTGCGTGGCTTGTGAGCACTTCGGGTTTGTGCTTACAGCAGTGTAAACAGGCTGTGAGGCTCCCAGAGACAAGGACAGTGGCACAGGGACAAAGTTGTGACTCTCACATAGGAGGGTGCTTTTCTCCCCTGGGTCAAATGGCCACTGGTGTTGGTCTTTGGATCAGAGTGGTCCTTGCTGTCTAAAACAATTAAAATCTGTTTTTTTAGGATTATCTTTGAAGTTTGATGTGTGCATATCATGTGAGCAAGATGGAGTTAATATCAGAGAGCAAAATGAACTCCCATTGTCAACAGGATCTGGGCTGTACAGCCTTATTCCCATATCAACCCATGAATTAGTGACTTCTTTCCCGTTAGTAAAGTGATGCTGCTCGAGACAGTGTTTCTTTACCGGCTATGATCACAGACCAGTCTTTTCCTAGTTTGGCACATTGACACTCTTGTTACACACAACACAGACGAATGGGGGACGACACAAAGGACCCCAGTTTTTTAGTATAAGAGTCATGAACTGACTTTGTTGTATAAACATTTCTCAGTGAGTAGACAATAGCAAAGGTCTGCAGACCACACTTAGACCAGCACTGACCTGAGACACTTAAGAGAAAGGGAGACAAACCAGTAAGTCCAGAGTTGGGTGAACAAGGTGGAAAAAGCTTTGCAAGGGTCTCTCTGAGAAATACCAGTGGAAATATTTGGATGGTTATTCATGGATGTTTGAGCAGGAACTGCATGGCAGGCTTTGTGCTGGACGGTGGGCATACTTCAGGCAAGAGAATGTTTGCTTTCCCCGCCTGGGGGCCTATTGATGTAGTGGAGACATTGAAGGAACAACGAATGCTTTAGCTATGTGTGCGGTCAGTGATAAGTGCTGTGATGACAGCAGTGGGTTATAGGCAAACATTTAAAGAATGACCAGTTAGGAAGGGCAGGGCTTCCTGGGGTGAGGTGGACACACTGAAGGCTGACGCATGTGCAGAAGGAATAGCCCCCAGGAAAGGGGACAGAGAGGGTGGGCTGTTGGGGACAGAGTGAGATAAGCTCCCAGCACAGGGAGCAAATGGATGCCTGCCTCCAGGAGAGTCCAGTGGGGGCAGCAGGGACCTTGAGATGCCTCTGGTGTGAATGCTCATCTGTGGCTCGCCTCCTGCAATAGCCTCATCAAGTGGCTGTGCACCTCTGACCAAGCGTATCTAGTGAAGGGGACTTGCTGCTGCTTGGCACAATCCGTTCTCTCCAGCTGTGTGAAAACTTTTCCAGCCCTTGAGCTGAGATCTGTCTCCCTGGAACTTTTACCCATCAATCCTGGTTCTCTCCTTCCCCCTGAGACCACATAGTGTGCCGCTCATCCATCATCCTCATGACAGCTCTTCAGATATGTTTGGAGACCACCATCTGCCACGAGGCGTCTCTTCTGGCTGAACGTGTCCCTGCATCAGCCCTATCTTGTAGGATGTGATTCAGGTTCCTGCACCATCTGCTCACTGAGATCTAAACAGTTACCCCCCTCCTGTCCTCTCTTCCACAGATTTCATCGAGACTTGCTGCATGGGCATAGGGGACCCTATTGGGAGCTCACAGCCTACTGATGGAGAGACAACATTAATCAAATCATTGCAAAAAATAAATGCCTAATTATAATTGAGATAAGAGCTATGACAGAGGAACTCTTCTGTGAAAGCATGTGACGGGCTGATCCCATCCGCGGGGAGGGTCAAAGAAGGATTCTCAGAAGTGTTTTCTGAGTTGCATTAACCTCCTAGGGCAGGGCATAACCTCTAGCTGGAGGAACCAGCATATGTAAAAGGTCCCGTGGCTTTACATTCTTTTTATCAAATTGGATGAGCGCAAGATGACTCATGTCGCCACTATCCTGTACTTGTTTTTGGTGCTAAAGTCATCTAAGATCTCGATAGGGTTTTGCAATTAACATGGTTATTTTCCCTCTCCCGCACTGGTCTCTTTTAACTTCTATATCTTTGCTAAAGGCATATTCCCCATTCTGATATCTGGGCCCAAACTTAGCCTTTGATTCTTCCTTATTTAACTCTCATTTTACTCAATCTTGTATTTGTTAAAATTCTTATTTTATACTCATTTTTGTCAAAAGGATCCTAGATGAGTTTTCCCCTTTCTAAAGTACTTATCTGATCTCTGATCCATTTCTTGCTTGGAGGTCTTCAAAAGTTGCATATAAGCTCCCCATGCTGCATTCAAGGGCCCTCAGTAACATCACTCTAGCCTCATGTCTGTTTGCATCTTGTGCTCAGGCCAGATGGGATATCCAGTTTTTCCCTGAAGTTTCCTCCTTCTATCCTGAGCAGCTTACCTTCTCATCAGTCTTCTCCTCTTCCTATGGAAGTATTTTCTGTTCAAAGACCACTCTAGTTGCTGCCTTCTTCACAAAGCCTTGCTGATGACTTCCCGTATATGATCTCTCTCCAGTGGCACCTTGTAACATCTCGTGCCGCCTTTTCACCTTTGGCCTTGAGTAAACTGATGTCCACATGTCATTTGTATCTGCTGCTTCCCCACGAGAATGGAAGCTTCTGAAGTCCCCTTGTCCCTGGAGCATCCCAGTAAACTGTTTGCTGCATTGACTGGTGGGAGATGAGCCCAGGACTGTGGGAGACCCTGAGATTCAGCCTTCCAGAAGGAGGTTCACATTTTGCATTTTAGAGTTTAGGGGTGCTGGTTTTTATTTTAATATATTTATTTTTTATTTTAAAATATATTTTTCTTGATTTCAGAGAAGGAAGGGAGAGGGGGAGAGACACAGAAACATCAATGATGAGAGAATCATTGATCGGCTGCCTCCTGCACACCCCCCACTGGGGATCCAGCCCACAACCCAGGCATGTGCCCTGACTGGGAATCAAACCCTGATCATCTGGTTCATGGGTCGACGCTCAACCACTGAACCAGACTGGCAGGGCAGTGGTGCTGACTTATAAGTGGTAACCCGGACAGTTTCCAAATCCTTCAGGTGAGATTTATTTGGCATTGTTTAGTTAGCTTAACTGGAACTCATTTTTAGTTGTAGGCAGCGTATTCCCGAAGCTCTGTGTAGATCACTGGTGAAAGAGGTTTGGAAATTCAGTCAGGTTGACATCTCTTTGTTGTGGAGACATTTTTTCTAGCCCTGGAGCATTGCTGTCCTC